ATCCTAGTTGTTTCCTGATATGGGCAGAGGTTAGGGTATGGATACGCGATGGATGAGAATGAAATAGGGCGCATTTACATCGGGTCGTGTGACTCAATGCTTTTGCTAAGCATTACAGAGTGACTGATCCCTGGAATGGATTGTGAATTACGACGGATAAATTATTGCCAGATGTTTTGTGTACAATAATGGACGTTCTCCTCCAACATCCTGAATTGTCCCCTAAGCGACAAAAACCACTATCTCCCCAGTTCAATAGTGACATGCCCCAGGATGTGCAGCTAACCCAATTTCAAGTGTATTGCTTCTAATGCCGAGCATGCAGCATACTTCGGTGTTACCCAATTCCTACCTGCTTTGATGTAAAATTTTAGGGTGCATTGGTATGAAGGACCCCAATTACCCTGCATTGAAACCCTGATTCTAAATTAATTGGGTTCATTCCCGCCATCAATGGAGGAAGATGGGGGGGTGCCCCATATCAATTGTGCTGGGGACAATATAAGATCAGAGATGGTGTGGCGGAGATAATTTCTTCAGTTCACCCAAATTCCACCTCATGCATGAGCCATACATTTTCCAAGGCTCACATTGACTTCATCTAGAAGCTACCTTCCCTTTTGGATTGGTTGTCTCTTTCCCAGTTCACATGCATCGTTACATATGACGTCAGGAGATTTTCAGATCAATAAGGAAATAAAGGTCCACATGCACATTTTCTATTTCTATATCAGCACATGCATGGTGAGTTGCTTCATACAGTTTGATAGGACAACAGTCGAGTCATGGAAATGCAGTAGATCCAATCACCGTTAAGCAGTGGGGCCAAATTCCCTATGACTTATGCATAGGGAACCCCTGGCTTGAGTGTATCAATTCCGAGGTTTTTTCTCATAAATGGAGTGCTGAAGAGTTGATAGTGATGAGCCTCACCATCACACTCAAAGCAAATCGGGAAATACCTCTTGTTTCTCCAAGTCATTAAGCATGACCAGCATATCTTACTTATACAGCTCCCAAGAGTTGATTAACTACTTTAAAGAGACCATTGAGAATATTCAGACCATAGTTGTCCAAATGGAAGGAGAAGGCCATAAAGACATCACCACAAGCAACCGCTGGGGCATCGATCTGGCCAATGCAAATCGAATCGAACAGATCCAAGCGCAAATCGCAAGTTATTGCTCCAAAAAGAAAGTACTTAGTTCTTTGGTCCCCGACGCTTTGGTGATTTGGAATATCCACAGGGTCCGACTGGGAAGAGGTAAAATTTTGGCTTTGCTGAAGGTTTTTCCCATTTTGCTAACTTGACAACTTGTAGATCCCATTCGCATAGCAAACTGGGACCCCACAACCGGATGTATGGACCCCTTGATGGAACGCATGGATACTAAGAATTAGGCTTGTAGTGCCCGCAGGAACCAAAGATCATGTGAGCTTTCAAAGAACAGTAATTTCAAATTGTTGAACTTCTTTACCAATTTATAAACGTGAGAAATCCATACACTAATGTTGAACATCTCTCCTCGATTGATCATGGATATATTATGTAGACAGGCGGGACCGCTCTTAAGCACGGCGTGCTTAATTGTCGCATAAAACATGCTTAGTTCATCTCAGTTGATTCTTGTTAAATGTCAAACTCCTTTTATCTGAACTAGTCCCAAGTCCATCTCCCTTAAGTGATAATTTTTGGCCAGGGCAGTAGGAAGAAAAAAATATTTGCATCTTTCATTTACAAAACATTCAGCTTATGTGGATACACATTGATGTGAGGGAAAATCTTCCAAGACACAGTATTTCTCTCTGATGATTGTAGAGGCAAAGATTGTTGAACATGGATATACATGCAGGGTGTACTTATGATAAATGTCACTTTGTCTCGTCTTGGGAAGCATATTCAGGCTGAGAAGAAAAGTGTTTCTGTATCTTTAGAATTTGATTTCAGGTTCTCCACTCAGAAACCTTGTCAGCTTCAAATCCAACCCATCATTATTAATTCTCTGCAACTTACTCTGATTTACACCGATATTAAACATTCACAGTCTTATTATCCCCCCAAAAACATTTATTAGAAGGAAACCACAAAGAATCCATCTTTGCCAAGGAATGATATTGTTTGTTGGGCCTTCATTTACACCCACGGGTCTACATTCCATAAGACTGAGAATTTCACAAGACCTTTGCCTTATTCTCTCAATTATTGCCTCTCAACCTTGATCATTCCTGATCAATTGGAAAAAAACAATGTATAGTCAGGACAGCTTAAATTAATTCAAAACTAATCAAATGAGGTTTCCATGACCAGTCAAATTGGATTTGGTGAGCCTATCCAATGTGACCCACTTTGAGCGCAACATTCTTCCATACTGGGAGGCAAAATAAACTTTGCCCTCTTTGCTGTTGTTTTCACACCGCAACCCCTGAAACAACCGCACATTGATTAAGCACGGCGGTCTTAGCTTGGCTGTGGCCCATTTGTTTTTTCAGAATTGGGTGTACTAGATTCCAGAGGCAATCCACTTGACTTGTTTCAAGTCATTTCGTCAGTTCATGTATTCAAAGTGTTGGAGAATTTTTTTTCCTCCATCGCAAAGTATTAACCAATTGAGGATTAAGAGACTTCTACATAAGATTCATCCAAAAATTCTTGGTAACATATTCCAGACCTCCCGTTTTTTTGTACTATAGTCGTATTCGAAGTTTTTTGCCAGCAATGATTTTTATTCCTTGGACCTAAGATGAGAGTGATTAGTAAATTTATATTTCCAAATTGAACTATCCAAACAACAACGTACTCAAGTCCCACTACTAGGTCCTTGCACACCCCCCACACCAAGACCTCCTACATTTCCACGACTAATCAGAGGTATTCCAGCCCCCCCACGCCCACGTAGAGTCATTTCGTTCAAAGTTTGTACCTTGGAATCCAAATCGATTGCATCTCCCATGTCAAGGTGCTCCTTTTCAACTGGAGAGAGGCCTGATAAGAACGTGGAGTCGTATGCGTCTATTGGAAGCTTCCGAGGTACCGCTTCAAATTCCACTGGGACATTTGTGATGGCAACCGGATCTCGTTCAAGAAGCTTCCGGATAGAGGCTCTTTCGGCGGTGGTTTTGCAGATGGTCAAAGCCATTTCATCAAGCTTGAGAGAGCAAGCAGTGAAAGCAGGGCTTCTCCATTGTAGCACAATGCGTTTTGGCTTTGCTGGAGAAGGCTGGTCCTCCCAATCTGAGATGGTTTCCTTTGTGAAAAGTAGTGCCAAGGATGGTTGGTTGCCCATCTTCTTCATGGCAACATCTCGTCTCTTTTCTGCAATCTGAAATGAAAGGAACACTGTCAGTATTCACGGTAATTTTACAAATTTGCTGAAGATTATATGATACATACTTTAGTTTTACCTCGGTTGATGGTAGCTTTCCTCGACTTTTCTATTTTCAGATCTTCCAAAGATTTTCCATCCGACCGGTCCGCCTTCTTCATTAATTTCCCCTGACCTTGAACCCAACGATCCAATATTTTCTCCATGCTTGATGTTTCGTCCCAAAAGGTTCCAGGTTGTGACTTGGCCCATTGATAGTAGTGTTTCATCAATATTGTTCCAAGAGTCCCATTCCAAGGTGATGTCGTAAACGATCGAGCCTTCCACTCAAACGTGAGACGTCCAAATCCCGCAATTTGGATCTCCCGTTCACAAGATTTCTTCACGTGCATTGGGATGTTGATCTCGCTGTTCAAAACATCCGGAGTGGCTATAAACGGCGGTGGAGTTAATTTCTTGCGGATGCGGTCCAGTTCTTCACGATACATTTTCTTGAAAGTAGGCTTTGGCACTTCCTTATGCTTCTCTGAGAAAATCTCCAAGTGGGCTGTCACCTTGTCGTAGCGATTCTTTGTCCAGTTATGCCAAATACCCCATTCTGTTGAAGTTGGGCCAGCTGGGTAAGAACTGACGGATGCAGGCATTCCCATCATGAACTTGATGAAGTTGCGAATTGAGCGGGATAGTCCACTGGACTGACTCGGAAGTTTTTGTCCCACAACAACCTTTCTTACTTTGCGGGTGGTTGCTTGAGAGCTTTCATGAGCCCTTTTCCTTCTTTCTCGGTCCACTTGATTCTTCAGCGCAGCTGTCGGATCTTCAATTCCACTGTCAGAATCTGATTACCAAGGAGGCAGGACCAATTTTCAGCTTTTCCTTACCATTAAGGCATCAAGGACAGACTGGACTTTAAATCCTAGATGGAAATAAATAAGATTTCACAACTTACCGTCATTGTTTTCATCATCATCAGTATCGCCACCCAACATCCTATCAAATTCAGCATCATCCGCATTTGCAGCACTCCCAGGTTGATTTTGAGATGTTGAAGCAGCACCGGTTCTTGATGTTCTCTCTTCATCGTCGGAGGTCTCCATGTCTGAGGCCATTTTTCTACTGTATTGCAGCTTTATGAGTGTCCAGGTAATCAAGGTATATATGGGCAAGTTACGTTGCAAAGGGATACAAGGGCAAGATCAGTAAATCTTCAGATATTTGTTAGAGTACTAAAAATGGGTGCCTGTCTGTAGAGAACACTTAGACGAAAGAATTCACAGTCTGTATCCTGGATTGGTTGGGCAACAGGGTGATTGAAGGTTGAAAAAATGGGAATTTCACGATAACATTCCACATCCATGTTGTGCACATATACCAGAATGGGGATTTTCCTCCACCTAACCTTTTTCCTGCCAGATGGTGACATGGTTCACCCAAACAGACATTTAGTACGGTACTGCACAACAAAGGAAAAAAAGAACAAATATATTATAACAAAACCAAACATCCACAATCATCCCCTTCATCTTGAAGTATTTTCATGTTGCATAATAAATTCTAATTCAGTTACAGCATCTGATTTACAAATTTATTCCTCCGACTCAATGTTCCGGCTCCATGCCTTTGTACAGAAATTGTACAGAAAACCAAACAAACAATGATCAGTAAGCAACTTGAATCTAAAACAGGTATAATTATTACGGAAAAATCTTACAATACTCCCCAGACTGACTGCTGAAATGGTTTCTTGGTTAATCCCAAAGGTCCCCTCTTTATTCCGCAAGGTGGCTATATGCCCAACAACCTGTGACTGATGTACGACCACCGCTTTCTCCAGCTTCCTCGAGTAGATTAACTTGACATTGAGCTGTGGAAGGCCTTTGTATGGATTCTTTGCTTCGTCCCAACGGTTCAATGATGCAAAAGGGCGAACCACAAACCAAACATCTTCCCTTGATTGACCCGTAAAAAGCAAAGAGATCCTCCCAAAGATTCTATCTCCACCTTGGTCAATCTCCACACTTGAATTGCCTGGTGGTTTCTCGATTAAATCCTTCGCTGCGACATATCTCCGATTGAATATTTGAACACTCTTGACTGTAATCACCACATTTTTAATCTCCCCTTCCACTGCATTTCCGCGGAACCCCATGTTCTCCAGTTGAACTTTCCATTGTTTGTAAACCCTTGAATCAAGTATTGTGTTGGTTTGGTTGGTTGTCATTGTCTTCTTCACATGACTATCTGTTGTTGATCCTTCCGTGCCGAGGTTCCTTTGATTAATCATCCCATAGTATAGCGCTTTTTTACTCCAGCTACTCATGAGTGTTTTATCGAGTTCCCCTTCAGAAAAGCGAAAAATCAATTTCAAGAAGCCCTTTGACCCAAATGCACAGAGCCAAATATTGACATCACCTACCAATGTGATTGTTACGCGGAATCTTTCCAAGCATTCCATTGAGACGTTCCTGAGCCCATGCAGAAGTTGCCATAGGGGGACCGAGACTCTTGATGACTTTGGGATAATGCTGGGATAAGTGGAGGTTGGGTTTGCTACTCTGTGTTGGCCACCCAAGCTTCAGTGTTTTTCGGTATTCCCAGATCAGTTTGGAGTATTTGGTAATGTCATTTGGCTCGAGATGGTGCATCATCAGAATATTTGTAATTTCAATCAACTGGACCAGTGAATCTCGCAAGACATCTTGATGTGTCACCGAGGTAGATCCATCAATCTTTTGCTTTTGCCAATCATTCCCAATCACCCAGTATGGAACCATGGCAAGTGGGTAATATACCGTATACAGTATTAACCAATCCGCTGCTTTAAGAGAACCTGAACCTGATAAACCAAAATTGTGGGGGACTCTTGAAACCCAAGTAGGAATCTCAGTCTGAGTGATTACATCTTGCAGAACCCGTAATTCTTCCTTCACTATCCTTGGCTCTTTGGTATGATTCACCTCAGTCTCTCCTGTGTTGACGTGCTCTTCTTCTAGTCCTTCCTTGTCGGCCACCGTATTTGTCTCTTCTATGTACTCCTCAATAACGGTTCCCTTTCCAAGAGATGAAGTGCTGAGAACACTCCTTGCACGCAGATCGTAGCAACGTATAGTTGACTCGGAGGTGGAACTTTCAACAGATCTTGATACTGATCCTGATCTTGTTGAGCTTCTTGTCCTGAGTGATATTTGACTTGCTCCATACGTATTTGTTGAAGGACCTACTGCATCTTCTTCAATTCTTGACAAGCGGGATAAATTTTTTGAGTTAAGCAGGCGTCTCTTTCTCCCTCCCACCCCTTCTTCATCTGTACTACTTGCCTCATCATCAGGAGTTTTCTTGCGCTTCAGATCGGGGAACTTGAGGCCTCTAAATATATCTCCTCCAGAAGTATGTTTCTTCTTCCACTTAGCCTCAAGAATGGACAAAGCCTTCAAATCCTTTCCAGCCTCGAACGTTTTCAAGATGTTTGAGCTGTGGTCTTTCAGGTTTCCTAAGAGCAACACATGCATTATTTCGATGCCACAATGCTCCACAGGCCGCCAGTAAGGTAGCTTGTTCAGAATAGAGCTCCTGGCACCTTCCTTTGTTGCAATTTCTTCTCTTGTTGCATGATCGGTAGCTTCTTCCCATCTTTTTACTCTTTCCATGTGGGCTTCGTGTGTCTTTGGCTCGAATTGATCAATATCGATAATTTCCGCCTGGTGAATCGTGATCTCGCAGAATGAACAAAACTTTGTTGCTGCATGTGATGCAAAACCAGCGGTCTTCCGAATTGCTGGTAGATCTCCTATTAGGGGGAATATGGCGGCAAATATCAGGCGGCCTTTTGGAAATGTACTTGTCTTGGTGAACCAAACCCCTTTCCAAAAATCAAGCATCTCCTCCACAAGCGGCTCCAGTATGTTGTTCATTTGGTCCACCTTGGGTTCCGTTGGTCCGGGGATCACTCCAAACAAGTATAAGTTTTCAATCTTATAACGTTCGGCTAGTGGTAGATTGAGGCAGACAAGGGCTACTGCCCCCAGTGATACAGACTTCCCACCACTTTTGTTTCCGTATGGATTGAACCAGTCGACATAAAGACTAAAGACAAGGTGCCCAGGTCTTGAAGTGAATATTTCATCCGAATCTTGAGGTCCTACAAGATTTTTCCATACACTTCCATCCCACACATCACCCATAGTCCCGCTACCAGAATTTTTGTGTTTGAGATTGGAATCCAATAGAGCTTCAAATCCAGGGAGCCAGAGTTTATGCGTAAGCCAGGCCTTCAATGGTTGGAAAGTGAATGTTCGAATCGGAATAATTTTTGTGATTTTTTCCCCAGTTCTTTCAACATCCATCAATTTTGCATTGCAATACTGCACTTCCTTGCCAACTTTCTTCAAGAATTTCTTTGATTCCGAATAAAAAACAGTTTTGCATGTAGTTGTTAATTCTGGAATTCTTTCATCTTTCCCCTTTGGAAGTTTTGGAATAGGGTAAAGTTTGAAGCAGTCGGTGCAGCAGATCTCTTCAGAAAAATCGTTTTCAAATCCGAGCTTTTGGAATACCGTAGGTTTTGAGAGAGGTATGTTACTGATTATTCTTGATCCATCAAATGAAAATTCTTCAGAGAGTTGTTTCACTTTTTGGTGTTCAGTCTTCAAAAAATCAGATATCTTCTTGTCGCTGACCCTCGTTACCAGAGAGAGTTTAGCCGCTTGTAGCATTGTTGTAAGACTGTGCTGAGGAATTAGCTGAAATGTTCTTGCTTTTGATGACTCAGTATCAACAACAAGATAACCATTTGCAACAGCGTTCTCCCTTTCGACGGATCCATCTTGCATTGGATTAACAACAGTTGTTTCGCCTGGGGTCTTTTTGGTTTGTTTGGAGTGAGGTAAGCCACAATTATTAGATGGAGAGTGGTTAAAATTAAGATAAGAATATACCTGATCAACTATAGTATTTTGAGGAGCCTCCTCAATTGCCCTTCCTTTCTCATCCTTCTCTTTCTTCTTCAAAATAGACCCGGAATGACTTTTAAATGAGGTAGCTGACCATGCCTTTCCTTTCTTCTCTTCCTTTGTTTCCATGTCTTGAAAAGTTTCTTGATCGCATCCAAACTCGGTACATTGGCATATTTTCCACCGAGTGCTCATTTTGTGAGGAACGATAATTGTAAGTCTGATAAAGATCGTTTAAGTTTTTGATATCCACCCCTGTTTATCTGGAGGGCCAAACCACATCTATAAATATTGATTTGCATGGCAAAACCTTCGACCAACCGCATGACACTGCAGTGACCTTGCATTGCAGCTCCTCTTTTCTCTTGAATTATTTGTACTGCTAAGCACGCCGTGCTTAGCATAACACCGATGCCATGACACAGACATGTCAGATGGTTATCTTTGATCACTAAGCTCGGCGTGCTTAAATCCACAGAATAGGACATATTGCTTACTAAACCTTGCATACTCAAAATAAGCTTACATATCTAATACCCGGGCACTTTAGCAATACATTGCCTTGCGCGCATGACTCTCATTGTACCAGGAATACAAATATGTGATTATTCAAGCTAATGGGTTAAATAAGAGAGACTGAACAGAGGAAATATACCGATTCCTCTGCTAATTTTCTGTGAAAACTCATCTGTTATTTTCCCTTTACTCAAGAATGAACACTAACTTGAACTTTTTGATCTTGGAAAATCAGAAAAATTCACCTTTTTACAAATTCTGCATACCCCTCACTCACCCCTCTCAGTATGGTGAAAACCTTGAAGAATGGAAAAGCTCCCTCCAATGTACAAATACTAAATAAGACTCTCTCCAGTATCATACCCCCATCCACCTCTCATTTTTCCAGATGCCTTGCTTCCTTCTGCCGTCTTGTGTTACATATTGAGAAGCTAGAGGAACAAAACTGGCAAACTTCACCTTCAGAAGAACAAATTCAACTCGCCAAAAACCTCCCACTCACAATTACAAGTCATCCTATTCAATCCAGAATCAAGCTGTCCCCAGCCAAACCTCATGTTTTACATGGTATCTCACTCGACTGTCAGGATTTGTTTCTTGCAGATTTAAAAGCATCTAACTTTCCTAAACCGACTTTTGCGTGGAATCAACCTTGGGAATCCCACTGGAATCAAATTTTCTCCAACTTTGTCCTCAAGCACTGGAATCATTGCTACAAATACGGTGCCTTTTCAAACTTCCCAATGAATTCATCCCACAAAACGTCTAGGAATGCTACTGCTGTCCTGAAAAGGTGGTTTGAAGGTAAAAGAAATGACATTCGACAAAACAAATACTCCGTAGATTCGGTAAAGAAGAAAGCTATGCAGGTGAAAAAGTCAAAATGGCGGAAGCAGGTCAGTTGGACAGTTATTTTGTGACTCTTCACATGTTTTTGGAACTGAATCATCAGAAATTCATCCAGCTCTCTCACAACCGCACCGAAGTCCTCACTTTATTGGGCCTTCCAGACGAACAGAGGGACCTCTTCAGTGAACCAACATGCTGCTCAGACACAGAGCAAACTCCCGATGCAAACTTCCATAGAGTGCAGTGCCCTTGGCGATCAACTTTATTCACCGAGCTAGGTTATCAAATTGACAAGTTCTCCGAGAAAAATAAGGCCGAACAACTGGGTAAAAAATACTACACCCATAGTACCTCTATCTGGTCACTCCGCGAAAGAAGTGATTTTCAAGAAAAAATTGTCAATGTGCCCTTGGAACTCCCTCGAAACTGCTACCATCCAACCTTCCTTGCTTCTCTCAATGAAACAGACATCAATGCTCTAAGAATGAAGGAGGAAATTGATATTGAGGCTATAATCAAACAGGTTTCCACAGAATAATGTAAGTTTTCCAAAACCCGTCTACTTAATTACCAAGGCGGTCATCCCGAAGTAACTTCTTCACCATCTCAAATTCCAGGTTTCCACTCAATGGGACACTCAAACTAATAGGATTTGAAAAGTTAGTCTTTACATTAACATTGGTCTTGTGATGTGAATAAAGATAAGAGAGGTGATCACTCACATGGCAAGCTCTGCTTTCCTGCGTTTAATCTGAAAAATATGTCCTTCAATACTGTTTGTCACACAGTACCTCACCACGTGAACCTTCTCCTGTTGGCCAATTCTGTACAATCTATCAATCGCCTGTTCCTCCACTGCTGGATTCCAAGTTGGCTCCTAAGAATCCATAGGTTTCATTCTTCAGCCTTTGGGAAATTGTATTACCAAATTTTGCATTGGACTCACCATGATGTGATACCTTTTGAGCACACCTCAGATCTATCCCAACTCCAGCTGTCTTTATTGTTGCCAAGAGTATTCTACACCATCGATCCCCCCTGAAGCGTTCCAAATTCTTTCTTTGAGTCTCATTTTCCGTCTTTCCATAATGTGTTGTAAAACTAATACCCACCTCATTCAGAGCGACTTCAATTCTGAGACAACATTAATGCTTCTGTTAGTCAATTATATGAACCCCAGGCATATTCAGTTTACAGACTCACATTTCCAGAAACCTTTTGAACTCCGAAAAAATAACCGCACGGAATTGAGCACCGCTTGCCAGGAACAACTTCAGATCTTGCACCAAATGGACAATTTTTGAGCTTTCATTCCAGGAGTATTTTTTCGTGCCAATTCCTTTTTCAGTCAATGCTGGATGATTACACAGCTGTCTTAAATCCACAAGATCGGCAAAGAAACTGCTTGAGTTCCAACCTTGTCCTCCTGTCCGATTCTTCCCAAATTGATCTGAAAATGCTTTGTGGTTTCTTTCGTATGTTTCATTCCACGGAGTTTTGAGCGCAAGGTTGATAATGGTTTCAATTTTCTCAGGGAGAGATAAGATAGTGGTTTTCAATCGCCTCATACTAATTCTGTTCATAATTGTTTGTAATGTTGAAATTCCACGGGGATCACACATCTCGACGGGGGATTCGATACAATTCTTCCAGATTGAATTTTCTGTCCATGGTTCAATTCTGATAAACTTTATTAAGCTGTGGAGATCTCCCAGTTGATTTTGCAAAGGAGTCCCAGTAAGGCATAATCGTCGTTCTGCTTCCAATCCAAGAATTACGCTGCTCCTATTTGTCCTTGGATCCTTCAGGTAACTGTACATACACTAATTTCAGTATTACAATTTTGATTATGGTTTAGGATTTTGGTTTACTTACTGTGCTTCATCAAGAACAATTCTAAACCATTTGATACTTGAAAAATCTAAACCCATTGTTCTGCCTTCAGTAGCGTTTCGACTTCCTTCCTGTTGACTACTTTTGATTTGTGTCACTACTGACTCGTATGTTGCCAGCACAACTGCAACTTGGGCAATATCTTTGAATTCGATCGTACATTTATCTCTACCGTAAAATGTTTTGAAAGGAAGGCTATCTCTTATGAAATGTATATTAATTTCGTTCTTCCAGTTCTCCAGGGTTGAAAGTGGGCAGATTATCAATGTGGCTGAGGTGGGCTTCAAATATGGTACATTTGGTTCTTGACGGGAGAATTGTAAGGCTTCTTCACTTGATAGTTGGATGGCTGATAAAGTCGTCAAGGTCTTTCCTAGACCCATATCGTCCGCAAGAATACATCCTTTCGCATCAAATTTGACATCTCTTTTGAGATACCCTTTCTGAACAGCATCTTCAAAGACTATATGGACCCATTGATTATCTGGATCATTCCAGATCTCTAGTGGTGTTGAGACGAGAGTGGATTCGCTTCGTTGGATAAATTTGATTGCTTTCATTTGATGATCCATTAGCTTTGTTTTGCAGCCTTGGATGGTGTGCCGATTGTCTTCTTCAATAGCCGTTGGTTGTACCATGTCTTCACTCTGTTGTACACCCAGAAAATGACCGGGATCATAGCTTGGTATTTGCTTGAGAGCAATATTTGCGAGGCGGAAAGAGTTCCTCACTTCCGAAATCAAATTTTGTCGAGCAAATACAAATCCATGTACAAACGATCCTGTCCGCATTGAGGGATGTACATAAAAAATTCGGAGATATATTTTATTTTCCTTTTTTTGGAGTGCCTTCAGAGTAATTGGTTCGGAAACACTCCCAATACCACCAATCAAGGGGCCAAGATGTTTGCTTTGGTTTTCAGCCAAGTCACCAACCTTTTCGTAATTGGAACAAACTACATGTATATTATACCTTCCTCGATGAAACACCGCTTCTTGAAGTCCAATTTGAGATGAGTTGAAGGAGGGAGTGAGGATGACAGGCGTGATAAAAAAACCTAAGCAGGATATTGAAGACATTCCTGAATGATTGATCAGGTATTTGCTGGGGTTGATGTTAACAGAATTGGTACTAGATTACTAAACGATACTAGTTGAGGTATGGTTATTGGGTGAGTTTTAGAAGACGGAGGAATGAGATTGTCAATATAAGATCCAAAACGACTAATCCACATGTGTGACGTAGACCATGCCCTGTCAGATATTAGGTGCTTGGAAGTTGCTTGTCCCATTATTTTCCAAACTTTGGGCCTTTTTGTTTGGTGATATCAACTCCTTGCACTGTTAATACTAAACTGATCCAAATCAAACATGTCCATATCCCCGCATCACAGGTTTCTCAGAAGTGTCCAAACTTTGTTTGAGCATACCTCACTTGATATCATTAACTGAGGTGAACTAGATTCATGTAAATATTTGCAATTATGTATGTATGCCTGTTTTGTTATATGGAATCGTTTTTTTTTCAAATTCTTGGGCATTTGGATGTGTGATGGATAGATAGCTATTCCTCACGAATTCATTTATAACAAACAAGGATTTCATGACAGGCAGCCATACAAAATTTTAAATAATACTCAAGATATTTGTAGGATATGTTAATTGAATCATCCAAGTCATTTTCAAACTTGAAAAAAATTAAACTTGGAGCTAAAATCATGTGAGGTTGTTGGTATATGTCAAAATTTCCAACCTAATAATTGAAATTCTGGGAGAGTACCAATTGAAAACAAAAAATTTACCTCACCAACTTTCCTTGAAGCATACTATTTTTTATTGGAAAAAAGAAATAATGAATGGTGCTTTCCTTGTGGGCTTGTAGCAATGAAATTGTACACCATGTCCAATAAGATATTGTGTGATATGGACAGTCAGTAAAATCTAAAAGTTGATTTCTCAATAGGCTTTTCAGTTTGGATTTAAAAGTTCTGAGATTGTTTTCAACTGAGGGATTTGGAATACTTTTCTTTTTTAGTCTTGATTAAGCTTTTCCAATTCCAACTTTGCATACCAGTCATTGAATCCAAATGGATATTTCCCCACTTTTTCTCTTTTATCAATTGGTTTCAATATTGAAAAAAAAAAAAACAGGATATTATGTGAAAGTATATTCAGAGATTTAACTCAGTGGTGTTGATGTTTAATCTTCTGAATTCCAATGAATGATGAAAATCTGTAGCAACATATCTACACAGGTTTAAGATGTGAGAAGAATCCCATTGGACTCTCACACAAATACATGAAATCATTTATCTAATTAAAGTATTCATCAAATCTTGGGGCTCAAGCTGCTAACTTCTTGAAATCTGTGCGCCTGAATATTTCCATTTTTACAGGGATTAGCAATAGTCTAACTATCCATCAGAAATTCCTTGGAAAAATCTTCCAAACATGAGGTTATCTTTGAGGAGTTTGAAGATCCTTCACTCTTGGGAGGCTTATTGTGTGTTTTATTGTGCTTCTTGTGAAGTTTTAAATTTAGTCCATTTTATGGTGAGTTGGTAGGAGGAAAGATACTCACATGAATCCCTGATTCCCTTTCCATGATGTACTGACTTATACTCATATTTCCTGATACTAGGAATCATTAAAATGAACTGAAAAACAGAAAGGTGCTTCTGGCTTTTTATGATAATCATTCCAGCCACCTCATTGCTTCTCCTCATGTACTCTTTTTTTTTTCTGAATCCTTGGGGAGTGTGGAAGAAAATCAAATGTGCAGTTTTATAAGTTTTAACTTTTATGAGTTAGTTTAAGTTTATTGAATGTTCCTTCCATGAAGTGTTTTAATATCCCAGTTGAATCCAAAACACGATTTAAATCATAATTTTTTCATTTTTTTATCTTCACAGGAGCTGGAGAGTTGATATACAAATCACAGCCAGATGGGATCTTATAATTTTTGGATACTGAAAATTTTCACCAAAAACATACTTTAAATTTCAAGGAGTCAAATATTATGATTTTTTATCCTGAGAAAAATGGATTTGTCTTGTGGAATATGAATTATCCTCATAGAACTGATTTGTTGAAGTGGGCACTGATTGTATGGGAAACACAATGCCAATTGAATATAACATTGGAAGTGGTAAATTTTAAACTAGAGATCAGCCTAGTTGGAGTTAAAAATCTTCCACAAACTAGTCAGAATTTCATCAAAAAAACTCCCAATTTATAAATTGTTTTTATCTTCAATCATAAATTGTTGGGGGAGAGATGAAAGATAAAATTTGAGGATGATTGTGTTCCCAACATGAAATTTTCTCAATTAGGTTAATCATTTTTATTCATTCAACCCTGATGTATGAGCTGCATAGATGATCCTTCTGAAATGCATTGTAATTCAATTGGGGTTACTGGGTAGATAAAGACACAGATCAAGTCAGAAATATGACAGATATAGGGAATATATACAGTCATTGATAAACCAAATGATGGGGCTGGGATAAGCAAAGGCACCCACTATTGGGTGCCACATCTTTTTTCCTGGTGTAAGGACAACTAGAAGTCGACGGTCTTATCAGACTGATAATGAGATGTTTGTAAAGTAAGGTCTTTAATGGTTTCGCGGATTGCAATGATAATAAGACAAAACAAAAATATCGCGATAAGAAAAAGAGGAAAACGGGAAAAACAACTGATAAACAACTCTTCTTAAATATTACAAGACTTCGCTTTTCCATACGAGATCCATCCGACCTTCTGCTCTTGACCTATCGTCTTTTGCCTATGTCAAATAAATTCCTCTTGTGGAAGAACGTGCGTCAGTAATTATTTTCGCGTATCTAGTTCCTTCAGCTTTTATCCCG